CTTCTATTAACTAGCCTGCAAACTAGTCTTATAATAGAGAATAGAACCTTTGGCCTAGTGCAGTAATAAAACTCCTCGCCGGAAGTTATTATTATTACCGAAGTTTTCGCTTAATTAGATTTATAAAAGAGGTTTTCAGTTTTCTTAGAAAACTCGTTTATAAATCAATCAAACTACTAATTTCAGCTCGCTTAGTATTATTGATTTTCGGACTAATCGTTATTCTCTCTCCGAGGATGGCTTCTTAATAGCGACAAGCCGAAAATCAATAAGCTAGTATAAATTAAGATCAGTCCAATAGCTACTCCCTACCGCTAGCCACAATAAGAGGTTCAATACCTATATTGCCGCGTAGGTTTGGGCACCTTGGTATGAGAAACTAAGTAATAGTGCTTAAACCGTAGTTTAGGGCCGCAATTTGCTCTCTTATTACTTCTAGAGGTACTAGCTTATGCTTTCGCTAGTACTTAGTCTCAGGGACTCGGGCCTCAATGATTGGGTACAAATCTTAATTGGTTACTAAGGCCTAAAGGAGTATAGCTTACTTTTAAGCAAAATACTAGCTTTTCTCTCGCGAAAGCTAGAACAAAAAAGGCGGAAGCTTATAGCTTATAAGGCTCGCTTTTGTAATCGACCGGAAGGACGTTATTCCGCCCCGAGCTTAGCAGAATCAAAGGTTTTGTGCTAAGCGAGAATTTGATGCCTAAGGTTGAGAGATTTGTGCTAAGCGAGAATTTGATGCCTGAGGTGTCGAAATTGAATTGCTACCATGTGAAATTTGAATAAGGAATTGGGGTAAGGAAAAGACGAGTCCAAATTGCTTTGCTTGCTTGCTTGCTTGCTTGCTTGCTTGCTTGCTTGAAGTAAATACAGGAGACCTTTCAAGGTCTTATATAGACTATTAGGTAGTTCTAGAGCCTTCTATATGACTCATAAAATACGTAATAGTATTACAAATCAAAATCAAGTAGAATGTTCCTGAAGGTTCTAGTAGGTCACCTGACTTCGCTTAGAAAGTTCTAGAAGTGCTGATTACAAATCAACACCTTAAAATATTCTAGGCAAAGTAATGATTATAAATCAACAAAGACTAGATTATAGCGGTTTAGTTGCGTATAGCGCTCGTGCGTACTTAATAATCAAAGACCGAGAAGCTTTTCGCAATAAAAGAGCTTTTAAAGTTAAACCGAAAAGATATATAAGCTACTTGATTAAATATATAGCTTTTAATATATATAAAGTCTATGTTCTTGTGCTTTATAATGTGATTGTTATACGCAACGTAACGTTCGATAAAACTCGATTTTATTTTAAAAACGAAGAAAAATCGGTCGGTTAACCGATTAACGAAATTAAAAGCATCGTTATTAAATTAAAAAATATGAAAGACTTTAGTCAAACAAAAAACGCTTTGTTTAATATAAAGAACGTTGCAAAAGATCGCTTAAAAGAGACGAATACAGCTAATATGAAAAGTAAGCAGCCGTTAAACCTTATAAAAGTTAAGTTAAAAAAATTTAATTAAAGCTTAAAAAATGCGATTTTATTTAATCCGAGCGATGCATAAACGTTAAAAGCTTTAACTTTAATTAAAAACCTTATAGATACGTTTATATTAAAAGCAACTGCTTTACGAAATGATCTAATAAACTTTAACGATTTGAATCACACCGTTAAACGTTTCGCTAGCTTTTTAGTTAAAAGCAAAAGCGAAAGTGCTTTAAGACTGTTAAAAGCAAAGAAGAGCACCGTAAGCGGGCAAAAACCTAGCTTTAATAAAAGAGCGTGCAAATTATACTTTTAAGTTATTATTTAAAGCCGAGGCTCGAAAAGCTAAGCTATAAGCCGATTAACGAAAGCTTTTACGTTAATAACCGGCGGAGATTTAAATCGAATAATTAAGAAAAAGCTTTTAGACCTTTTTAAAGCGAGCACTAATAATAAGAAATTAAACTATAAACACTTTAAATAAAATTCCGACTTTAATAAAAAGCACTCACTTATTAATAGCTGCATTAAAAAACGCGCGAAAATATACGCAAGTATTAATAAGCTTCTTTTAAACAACTTTCGCGTCGATTCGAATTGCTATTCGCGCGTTTTAGATTTTATATCGACTTTCTAAGCTAATAACGAACCCGTGCGCGAAAATAGTAAAGATTACGAAACATTGCACGCTATTATAGCAGCTGCTACTTTGTTTAAGCTATTATTAAAACAACTTAACTCGTAAGAACGAAAACATTTAAAACCTTTTACTTATTAAAAAGAATTACAACGGCACTTATACGGTAAAGAGTTTATAAACGAAGCTTTTATAAAGCTGAATAATCTAGAAAAAAAGAACTATTAAAAAGTGATTCTCGAAAGCGAAGTTAAATTAAAACTTATACCTTTTAAGTAAGTGTTTATATATAAGACTAGCTCGTTCGAAGAGATCGTAAAGTTTAGATCGAAGATTATTATTAAAAGTGATTTTTAAAACGAATCTATTATTTATTTAACTTACGCTGTTACGCTAGCAGCTAAATCTTTTAAGATTATAATAGTTATAGCAGTTGAATTTAATTTAAAAGTAAAACAATTCGACGTCGTCAACGCTTTTATCAACGCTATAAAACACACGGACAGCGTTTTAATTACGTGTTATCTCTTTAACGGTTTTAAGCAAAAAAGTATACTCGTAAAAGTCGATAAAGCTTTATATAAACTTAAAGACTCGCTAGCTTTATAGTATTTCGACTTTATAAGCACACTCGACAAATTAAAGCTTATACTACTCGGTAAAAAATTGTATATTTTTACGAATTTAAATAAGACGGTCTTTATAGCGTTTTATATAAACGATATTCAAATTATATACTATTACTTTAATCTTTTTAAAGCGCAAGAGATTATTAACGGTCTTAATAAAGCGTATAAGATCGAAGCGATAAAAAATATTAAATAGTTTCTTAATATAAGAGTCGTCCGCGATCGTTAGCGAAAAACGCTAACGCTTATACACGATACTTATATTAAAAAAATAATTAAAAAATTCGAACTTACGAACGAACGCTACTTAGCAACTCTATTACCGTTTTATAACTTAGTTAAGAATAAAAAGATAGCTTCGCGGAAGCAAATGAAAGAGTATTAAAAAAAGGTTAGATCCGTACTATATATAGCGATTATACTACGCTTAAATATAGCTTTTATAGCCTTTTAACTTTCTTACTTTAGCATTAATTCAAGCGCAAAGCACCTTCGAATTATAAACTAATGTTTGCGATATTTATTTAATTCGCGCTTTAAAAGGATTCAATACAGCTAGTTTAACAAGTCGGAGTTAGTAATAGCTTTTGACGCTTCTTACGCCGATGACGAAAAGATAAAGCGATCTTTTTAAAAGTATATTATGTTTTTGTTTAAAAGTGCGATCTTTTAAAAAGCTTTAAAGCAAGATATAATTATTATATCATCTATTAAAGCGGAGCTTTTTAGCATAGCCCTTACGATAAAAGAGACTATAGCGCTTTAACGATTTTTCAAAGAGCTGTACCTTCGATTTACGGCGCTTTAAGTAATTTATTATAATAATCAACAAACAATTAAGCTTATAGCTAGTAAAAAAGAGCGTATCTTTATTAAGCTTCGCTACGTCGATATTCATAATATATAATTGCGCTAAGAGCACTTTAAAAAGAGCTTTTAAGTTCAATATCTTTTTATTAACGAGATGCACGCTAATAGTCTTATTAAAAACTTGACTTGATAAAAGTTTAAAAGCTTTATCAAGCTTTTAAATTTATAAGACGCTCGCGCGTCCGTCGAAGAACTTTAATAGCACGCATATGCTATTTACTTATTATTATTTTTTTTTTTATTTATACGTAATTCAAAAGAAAACATTTATTTAATAATCTTAACTGTTATTTTATCTTATTTTATACGCTTTTACCTTTCGCTTTTTATAACAAAAGATCAACTAAAGCTCTTAGCAATTTCTTTACTTTAGCTCGGCGTTCCGCAAGAGTCATAGCAACAGCGAGCGCCGCCGCGAGAGCGGCAAGCGTAACAACTAGCGTAAAAAGAGCGACGATAATAAGTACGACGAAAGCGACGAGAGCTATAAAAGCGACGAAAGCAACAAAGACGGCTAGCGCAAGCGCAAGAGCTGCTATAACAGTAGATTAAAGCCTTTGTATAAAGTCCGAAAGAAAGTTCTAATTAAAAAGAGCTACTTAAATTAAATTATTTCGAAAGTCAAAAAGCTTAACTTACGAAAAGATAATATGCTCGAAGCGCTCCGTATCATCGGACTACGGTTCGCTATTACAAGACTATTCAATTTAACAAAAGCTATATTCAAATTAAAAGTCTTAAAAGCAAAAGCAAAACTTATAAAGCTATCGAAACTACTTCTAAATCTTTTACTTTTATTCGCAAAACCGCTCGGACTACTAGCAACACTTTTTAAAAAGACAATATTTAAAGCGAGCTGTTATCGCATAGCATTTCGGAGACCCCGACGAAC